AGCTGTTCTAGCGTCCCAGCTCCCGTATATATTAAGACTTTATAATTAACAACTATTTTATTCAATCTATTTAACTAGTTAGTTAAATACACATACGAGATGTACGATGGAAAATACTGGAACTGTGGAACTCTATTATTCCACTCATATTTATACTCATTTGAGAAAACCAATTAATATTTTTAATGAAACAAGTGTTGAATTATCTTGGTGGTCAATCATATATATAAAATATTGAATGACCACGATCAAAAGGAATTAATTCTATCCAATATGTTACAACCATTAAATTTACTTTTTTAATAGTTTTTTATCAGCATATTGAACTCTTGAACTTGATCTAAATGAGTTCACACATGATAACAATTAATTTGTATTATTTCAATTTGATCATAATTTCACTTGTATCGATTCTCTCAAATGAATATTAGCATAACATTACACTGTGAAACTTATTACTAATTGGCTGAGCTAAAAAAAAGTCAACGTCTTGTAGAAGCGTCCATAGTTCAGAGGCCGTCCACCTGTTACTAATGATAAAAACGATATATTGGACAGTCGATATTTTTCATTTTGTATCAGAATTCCGAGACGATATTACACTGCATATATATGTTGTTTAAATTGGTATATTTTATAGTTAGAAACTTGACTTTGTTAATGGAACTGATAGATAATTACTAATTGTGAATAATTTGTGACTTAGCAATAATTTAAAACCAAACAAAGTTAATTGTGTGAAATGTATTGTCGGGGTCTGGTATATATTAATATTGTGTTGTCAATGTTTGGAATCTTGGTACACTTTACCGTCTACCACATTAATCATGATCTCATTTTACGGTTAAAGAAAGAAAGAAAGAACTTAGAATGAAATTGGAAAGTAACTGGTCTAATTGATTCTTGTGAAGAGACTGAAATATATGGAACGTATACTCTAAATGAACTTTATACAAAATCTGAAATAATTGTCCTAACTTGATGTGCTTAACGGAATAAATCAAGATATAATTATTGTGATGTGTTGTGTTTTGATATACATACAACGTTTCGAAAAGTTACCTCACAACGACGAATTTCAAACTTTATTCAACTTTCCCATGAAATTCCAACATTGGAATAGGACGCCATGTTACTTTTGATTAAAAAATGGTTTCATCGGGCGATATTGATTACCCTGGGGTTTGTCGGGTTCACAATTTATTCATTTGTTGATTTTGGAAGCTTGAAGATAAAAGCAAGGACCGTATTAGATATTGGCCTAGCTGGAATACATTCTCAAGCCAGGACCTCTGTAAATCACTCGTTCCGAGTAACCGACTGGAACTGTTCTGCTTTTATTCATGGAAACAAGAACGAAACTAAAAGAGCAGTAAAAGCGAAAGTACGGTATATGCCATCAATTCAAAATTTGAATTGTTCAGAATTTCGAAAAGTTTACGGATATGATGACTATTCAATAAGTGAAGAAGAACGCAACTTTCCCATCGCTTATAATATTTTACTCCATAAAGATTTCATCCAAGCGGAATTTTTACTCAGAGCTATATACAGACCACAGAACTATTATTGTGTCCATGTGGATGGATTTTCCCCTCCCAGCTATCACGAGTCAGTTCAGAAAGAAATTAGTCGATTGTTTCGAGAATGTATTTATAGTATCAAAAACTGAAAATGTGACGTATGCGGGCTTCTCTCGTCTTCAGGCTGATCTTAACTGTATGAAAGATCATTTAAACCAGGACAAACCCTGGAAATATCTACTCAACATCCCCGGGCAACAATTCCCGCTAAAAACTAACGCAGAAATCGTCGTCATTTTGAAAAATTTGAAGAACTTAAATAATATTGTTGGGATTAGTGGCGATGTACATCCATATCGCTACGAATCAAAATATATTCTTAAACCAAATCCCGACAAACCGGGTCGTTTCGAAATGGCTTCTACTGGCGAGAAACACCTTCCCCCACCCCACAATGTTACGATTTATAAGGGTAGTGCGTATGGTGTATTTTCCCGCCAATTTGTGGATTGGATCATAAATAATAAGAAAGCACGTGACCTACTGAAATGGTGCCGTGACGTGTATTCCCCAGACGAATATTACTGGGCAACTTTAAACTATAATTTAAGGTTACATGCTCCTGGAAGTAATTCAAGTACGTATACACTCGACAATCACTATTAAAACTAGACTTATGAGTAAATAGATCCCACCGTTGTATATTTGAACCAATCGAAACAAGTTTTACCTGTAAGCACGCTCATATCATTCACGAGTTTTGTGCCTGTGTTCATGGTAACCAAAAACAAAAAAAAAACAACGCAAAGTGGCCAGTACTTGCCAATTTGAAAATCACATGAATATCTATCATCTCGGTTTAAGCTGGGACTAGACGATGTACGGTGTCCGGGGAGGTGTAGTGCGGAATAAACGATACATTAGAAAGTAGTAACGGCAAATCGTGTCTAAACCGTATCCGGATCCGTACCTCGTGATTTCAAGTAAACTAGGTTAGTTTTACAATAATTTCTTAGTTGAAATTCACGCCAGAAAAAACAAAGACTACTTTTGCCTGGGTTTTGAACGTAGCCTACGTGGTTGTCCCTTCTCAAGAGGTTCCAAGACGTAATAACAAGACTGTTCAAGATGTATGATATTAGGTTATGTCACACAAAGAGCATTATAACACGCTATGGATTTCTTTAAGGGATTTTTATTTGTATCGGAGACACTGACAGCATCCGCGTTATCGTTTGAGTGGTCATTATGTCCATAAAATGAATAAACACAGTTTGAACAGTACATTATAGTGTGCATTTTCTCTCTTTTTCAGTTGATGACGAGACGAATCCATTCCTTGCTGTGTACGTAGCATGGAAATACTCTGAATGTTACGGATCGAGAAATAAAGGTTATTGTACATTTAGTGTCCGAGATCTACCGACCCTGGTCAAACGACCTGAAATGTTTGCCAACAAATTAAGGATAAATTACGATGCTTTAACATTAAGATGTCTTGGTGAATGGGTATATAATAAAACTTTAGGTCTTGTGCCTTCTGGGGTCTAAAACACTTGCAACATCACCTCTTCAACCAGTTCGCAGCTATGTCATAATACATAATTGTTCATTGGAAAACTTCAGTATTTCTATCAAATGATCTTCGAACCAGCCAGTCTAATTAAACTTAGACCAAACATTCGTTTTGTTTTTTATTGGCTTTTATTGTTAATCTAACCACTACAGTTATGGTCTAACGACAGCCCTCTTTATCATTCATTCCAATAGGCCTAACCTTTTGGCCACTGCTTTAACCAATCAAATTTAAACATCCAAGAGAGGCGTGTTCTAATTTCAATTTCAGTGGACTTGATAAACAATTCTAATGCTTCTGGGAAGACACCTTTCCTTCCCGTCACAAAATCCTAGCGTTTAAGAGGAAAGAAATTTGATTGGTTAAAGCAGAGGTCATCAAGTTAGGTCAAAAGGTTATTGTATATGAATGTTGAAGAGGGCCGTTGTAATACCCAAACTGTAGTGGTTACATTAAAAATAAGAGCCCAACAAATGCGAGCTTCCCATGTATAATAGCCTCTATCACCAAGTCTGCGACGAAAGATATCTTCGTCGTTTTTGGCACAATCTTCGCCAATGTTCGTTAGTTTTCGTGAGTGAAACATTATAACTCGGGAATGAAATGTGGAAATCTTGCCAAGAAAATTGTCATTTTAACATTCAAACGCGGGTTTGATGGCTCAAATGTCGACGGTGAGCTGTGAACCTAATTACTAATTGGCTTAGCTAAAAAAAAGTCTTGTTTCAGAGACTAAAGTATGATTGGTCGAAAAGAAAGGCGAATCTGTCCCGTTAAAGGCGTTGCAAAGTACTGACGTCAACGTCTTGAAGAAGTGTCCATGGTTCAGAGGCCGTCCACCTGTTACTAATGATAAAAACGATATATTGGACAGTCGATATTTTTCATTTTGTATCAGAATTCCGAGACGATATTACACTGCATATATATGTTGTTTAAATTGGTATATTTTATAGTTAGAAACTTGACTTTGTTAATGGAACTGATAGATAATTACTAATTGTGAATAATTTGTGACTTAGCAATAATTTAAAACCAAACAAAGTTAATTGTGTGAAATGTATTGTCGGGGTCTGGTATATATTAATATTGTGTTGTCAATGTTTGGAATCTTGGTACACTTTACCGTCTACCACATTAATCATGATCTCATTTTACGGTTAAAGAAAGAAAGAAAGAACTTAGAATGAAATTGGAAAGTAACTGGTCTAATTGATTCTTGTGAAGAGACTGAAATATATGGAACGTATACTCTAAATGAACTTTATACAAAATCTGAAATAATTGTCCTAACTTGATGTGCTTAACGGAATAAATCAAGATATAATTATTGTGATGTGTTGTGTTTTGATGTACATACAACGTTTCGAAAAGTTACCTTACAACGACGAATTTCAAACTTTATTCAACTTTCCCATGAAATTCCAACATTGGAATAGGACGCCATGTTACTTTTGATTAAAAAATGGTTTCATCGGGCGATATTGATTACCCTGGGGTTTGTTGGGTTCACAATTTATTCATTTGTTGATTTTGGAAGCTTGAAGATAAAATCAAGGACAGTATTAGATATTGGCCTAGCTGGAATACAGTCTCAAGTCAGGAACCCTTTAAATCACTCGTTCCTAGTAACTGACTGGAACTGTTCTGCATTTATTCATGGAAAGAGGTCCGAAACTAAAAGGGCTGTAAAAGCGAAAGTACGGTATATGCCATCAATTCAAAATTTGAATTGTTCAGAATTTCGAAAAGTTTACGGATATGATGACTATTCAATAAGTGAAGAAGAACGCAACTTTCCCATCGCTTATAATATTTTACTCCATAAAGATTTCATCCAAGCGGAATTTTTACTCAGAGCTATATACAGACCACAGAACTATTATTGTGTCCATGTGGATGGATTTTCCCCCTCCCAGCTATCACGAGTCAGTTCAGAAATTAGCCGATTGTTTCGAGAATGTATTTATAGTATCAAAAACTGAAAATGTGACGTAT